GACGATCGAGAGGATCTCTCGCAGCAGGAGGGTCACCTGCAGCCTCAGCAGCAGACGTTGCAGATGAGTCAGCAGCAGCAGGGTCAGCAACAGGGCCAGCCGCCGAGTCAGCAGCAGACGCAGCAGAATCAGCAGCAGCAGCAGAATCAGGGTATGCAACAGGAGCAACCGAATCGCCAGTCTACGGGCCAGCAGACCGTTAAGGAGGGCTCACGGTCCAAGCCTCAACCTTGCAAGGTCTGCGGCAAGGTGCTGTCCTCCGCTTCCTCTTATTACGTGCATATGAAACTTCATTCGGGGAACAAGCCCTACCATTGTACAGTATGCGAGGCGAGTTTTTGCCGCAAACCTTATCTGGAAGTGCACATGAGGACGCACACGGGCGAGCGACCTTTCCAATGTGAGCTATGTCTGAAAAGGTTTACGCAAAAGAGCAGTCTCAATACTCACAAACGTGTGCACACGGGCGAGCGACCGTACGCGTGCGACATCTGCCACAAACGTTTCGCCGTCAAGAGCTACGTCACGGCGCACCGTTGGAGCCACGTAGCCGAGAAGCCGCTGGTCTGCGACCGATGTTCTCTCACGTTCACGTCCAAAAGTCAATTTGCGATTCACATCCGTACACATACCGCCAGTACCACTTACGAGTGCAATATCTGCGGTCGTACATTTGTACGCGACAGTTATCTGATAAGGCATCAGAATCGGGTGCACCGCGACATGAATCAGAGCAGCTCGAATCACAATCCGCCGACGCCGCAGAGCAGCGGTGCCGGCACGCCGGGCGCCGGCTTCGAGAGTCCGGTCTGTGATCTGCGCTACAGCGAGGGTCCGTCGTCCCTGGACGGTCTCGCGGGAGCTAAGGGCGCGGGCATCGCCGCGGAGATCGCCAGTTTAGCCAAGCAGAACAATCTACAGCTTCCACTACCGCTGCTGCATCCGCAGACCACCAACTAGTGTTTAGACAGCAGCAGCGCTACCCAGTCCCTGCCGCAACACCAATCACCACAGCAAGTAGTATGTCCCACCTCGGCGTCTTCGCCGTTCACACTTAACTCACCTATATCTCACATCGAGCACACGAGCACACCGCAGAGTGTCTACCAAACGACGGGCTCCTCCGATCCCTTGGAAAGCCCCAACTCCCAACTCTATCCGCACTTGTCGTCCCCTCTAGACCCAACGTCGGAGTCGCAACATCATTCGCATCAGCTGCACCGCGGCATCCCTCCGCCAGGGCTTCACCCCGCGCTCTATCTCTACGCTGCTCAGTATTCGAACACGAGTCCCGCGACTTCGTATTCGGAATATATGCAGCGTAACAATTAAAACGCGAGTTTTCATCTAGCATCGATCGGCTTCCAACGTGAACGAAAATACCAGTGAGACTGGTGCTATTTAATCGCGTCGGTTGATCAAAGTGCCTATCGAGCATCCACTTCCGGTTCGTAACAACGGATGCTCGCTCGTCACGGTTTAGGAATACGGTTTCGGTTTTGGTGCAGGAAGGGATACGACTACTCAGCTCGATCAGTCGCGACGTGATTACCGTTCGATAATTGTTCGCTAATATTTTGTGTCTTTATATCTAATCTAATGGATTTTATATTCATGAACATCTTTTAACGTGAGATTGAATAGCACCCGCTTGAAGCGGTGTTTTTAATCTTTGAACGATAAATCGTTCTGATCGCTATTCGCGGATCGTTTCAATAAATCGATCGCTATTCGTACGCGATGCTAGCTGAAACCGAAGCGTGTATCGTTTCTACGAGTCTCCACGATTTCAGCACTCTTGTTTCGCCTGATTTTAATCACATTTCTGTGAATATATGTCGCAGGGATTTTGTGTAATTCGTTATTTTTTTTCTTTTTACAACATTCCTAGAGACTCCACAAAAGAACCGGGATATTGTGGATTAAATACAAATTATACAATCTTACTAGTGATTTTGTAAAGTCTTAAGTTCTATCAGCGAAAGTGTAAGTTAAAATTTTTATTAATTTATATTTATAAATACATTAATTTTTATTTATTATACAATATCCCAGTTTGTTGTGGATTTTAACAGTAAAGATTTCTCTATTCGACTTTAACTGGCTATCTTAACCCTCAGTTACGTCACCTGGGTCTGAGAGACCCTGCACATTGTTAAAATGTGCAGGGTCTTTAAAATGTTCATAAAACCCTTGTATCTTTTTTTAGTCAGTACTACGTCAACTTGAAAAAAGCAATCTTTTTCGCCTTTTCAGAAAAACACGTTTTTTTTTTTTTTAATAACATTTACATTTTTTAACTTGGAATAATCTAACTTGCACAGTCTTGTAGATCTTTAAAAGACGCATTGATTAAAAAAAAAAAACTTCAAATTGATGCATTTGTCTTAAAGATACAAGCTAGAGAAAACGGCAGGGGTCTCTCAGACCCTGGTGAGGTAATATCGGGGTGTAGAAACGTAAGGTAACTGAGGGTTAATAATCGTCATGACAATACCACCATTAGTTTTGGTCAAGACGTTTCGACTATAGTTTTGGTCTTTCTTAATCGATGTAACTTTGACGATAATATATGTATATAACACCCTATTTAAAAAATTGATTGCGAAAAATATCGATTATATATAATAAAGATAGGTCAAATAAAAAAATCTTTACTGTTAATTATTCACTGACGAAATAAAAGTTACTTATTTGGTTTTCGTGGATTTTCTAGGAATTTTGAAAAAAAAAACGAATTACATGAAAACCCTGCGATATATACATATGTATATACACATATACATATGTATATGTATACGTGTGTATATACATATATACATTATGCGAATCATTACGACACATACACATATTTATATTATATTTTTAAAGGAGTTTAGTCACTTGAATCTGTGATATAGATAGTAATTATTGTCTACAATGTTTAAACTATTGGTTTACTATTTTGATGAATATCAAAACGAGGAAAATGAAAAAGCAATGTCACGAGGTGATCAAAAATTTTTTAGCAACGTTGGTCTCTACCGAAGGTGTGTTTGGTAGACACCCTTATTAATTTTACAACAGCAACAACAGTAACACTCTATATGGCTAATTCTACTATTATCACTGCTATTATTCTAACTACCCACTATCACATCTATCACCACCACCGACATTTCCCCAATTATATATTATCTATCGCTACTATTACGGCTATTACTACCACTATTACTGTACTGCTACTACATACTACTATACTACTAAAAAAAAAAGGAAACTATTACGATCACATTATCGCTAAGGATACACTCACACATGCGAGAGCGCGCGTTTATTTCGACAAAGTACGTGTACTGCATACGACTACGGCCCGTCACATATAGTCGTCATGGTTTCTCTTTAGCTTGAAACGCTACGAGAATTCCTTCTGTCGCTTTCTCCGTAGATCGTAAAAACGTTCATCCCTTCGCAACATCGACGGATATGTTCGTATGTGACGAGGTGCGCGTTTGTGATAAAAAAAAGAAAAGAAAATTGTTCTTCGTTAGATAGTAGAGCACACAGCTTTCAATCAGTTCCATAGTTGTACTTACTTTCCACATATCTCGAGGTGTACACAGATATATATATTGTATATACATATATACATATACGACGTACGAATGTATTATAAAGCGGAAGTGTAGGAGAATGCAGGTCATTTACACAAAAGAAAGAAGTTCTACCACGTAAAAGGCGCAATAGGCTGTTGATTCTTCGCGAACGCTCTTAGCCATTAGTTTATTATTAACTCCTTGTTCTCTCTTTCTCTCACAATCACGCTATTACGAGCTTCATTGCAAGCGCGGGGGAACCATGACAACCGCGC